TATATATATATATATATATCATGAATTAATTGAGCTTGTTGTACTTTTGAAGAAATTTTATGATTACTACTGGGAACCTGCTTTTGTATTCATGAAGTTCTTTTTTTTACCAAGCTGAAATTCCTATTGCTGAAATAAAAACTCATTTAAAAAAAATCAATTCCAGTAGCTAGAAAGAACAGCTGGATACAGTATTTGTTCCTTTATCAGTTGAATACATTTTCTAACATCATCTCATGATTATTTTTCTTTTAATTTTGATTTTAGGCCATCTTTCAACTCAGTGAATCTTTAAGCATATGGGATACTGACAGTTTGTTTGTTTCTTTATTTTTTAAGGACTTGAATTGATATTACAAACCCCAAGATAGTCCTAAGTGGCATAACTTCTCTGCTGACATCAGTCTTACCTTCTGGGAATCATACACTAGCAAGTACTAGCCAGCATCCTCTGAAGGCTCCGTTTGTCCCTGCAGCCACTAAGAAAATAGGACCACTGCTAACTGAAATATTTTTAGTTTCTCAGATTGTCCTCGTGCTTTCTTAGCAGGACTGAGGGGAGTTTCATAAGGAGATTGGAAGTCTGCTCTTCCACACACACAAAAATCGGCAATCTTTGTCCCCTTTGACAGCTGGTGGCATCTTTCTGAAAAGCTTTCAAATCATAGATCATTTCTTCATAATGAAACCTGTGTGGCTCAAATACAGTGGGTTGAAATTCTTATCTTATGCTGTGGTAAATGCTCTAATTTAGATTCACAAAAGGATTCTGTACCCTTTACTTAGGAGAGCTGTGCAATTTGCCCATAAAAAGACTGTTCAGCACCATTAGTGCATACCATAAGTGTTCAGCGACATCATATTCATTAAACAGCACATCCTTATGCATAACCTTTTCAACCTCGAACGTGTTTTTTCCCTTTGAAGAATGACAAATGACAAAAGGGTGAGAGAGGCCTCCAAGCAACATTGTTGCCTTTAAGGATGAACTTGAGAACTTTAGCTTGATCCCTTCACAGGGGGAAAAACATAAGATTCAATCCTATCCTTACCTGAGGCAAGGCAGTTTTTTTTTTTTCCCTCCCTCTCTGTAGAACTCGTTCCAAGGCCAAGAGAACAACTCCTGACATCCAAGCTTCAGAGACAGGTCTTTGCACAATAGAAAGGTTTTATGAGATCACTGATTAGAAAATTCCTTCTATAACACTTATTAAGCACTTACTATGTCTTAGATCCTGTGTTGGTCACTGAGATAGAGATAACTAGCTAATATTATAGAATATTAATACAACCCATGGTTTCTAATCTTTGGTACTAAATATCATAGGTTTCCTATCTTGATCAGATAGATTTGGTGGGGATAAGTAGGGGTGTGGGGGTGAGAGAGAGGGAATATGGTAAAAGGGCGAGAATGGGGATAGTTCTGCGTTTTGTTTTGTTTTGTTTTAAAGAGCCAGAGGGAAGAGCGAGAATTTTATTAGCAGTGATACTTTTAATTGGCAGGTCGGTGACTAACTCTGGTGTTCATTCCACTGATACTCTGTAGTGTTCCTATACTCACAGTAACCTCCAGTTACTGTCCCAGATGGTTAAGTGTCTTAGGGTAGTCCCTTTCTAAATCCGCCCTCCACTTTTCCCCAATTCATTCAGACTTTTCTCAAACTTGTGAGATATCTTCTCACTTCCATTTTAGGTACACCTGAGAGCCTGGCAGAGAAAGAACGGCAACTCTCTACTATGATTACCCAGCTGATCAGTTTACGGGAGCAGCTCTTGGCAGCGCATGATGAACAGAAAAAACTGGCAGCCTCACAAATTGAGAAACAACGGCAGCAAATGGACCTTGCTCGCCAACAGCAAGAACAGGTGAGCCCTGCAAAAGGAGCTGATGAACTGGAGAGGTGGAATGCGCCAAGCTCAGCGAGTAATCACATTGATTGGTTTATTTGTCATAAGCATTCCTAGAAATAAAAAAAAATAAATAAAAAAAGAAGGAGAAGAAGAAAAGAAGAAGGAAAGAGAAAGATGGAAAAACAAAGGAAGAAGCCTTCTGGAAATCCAGGGTCTTTAAGAATACTGAGGGGATATGTGGAGAACAAAGAAAGGCATCATAGCAACGGGGCATAACTGAAAGTGATAACGTTATTCCAGAACATTTGGATTTGATTAATTACTTAGGGACTCATTCACACAGGCATCGCATGCAATCCTAGTGTAGCTTACCCATGAGTAAGTTGCTTCTCTCTGGGCCTACTCTTCTCATCCGGAAAAGAAGGGTCCTGGTCTAGAGAAACTTTGAAGATCTTTAAGCTTATTGGTCCCATGATTTTCTCTGACTTTAAAGCTAAGGTGACCATAGGCCTCAGTTTTCCCAGAATAACCATGGCTAATGCCTGTTTCCCAGAGTAATTATTAATAACCCCTATTCCACTTGCAAAAGTTGGCCGGGTTTGAATGATAAATTATATGGTCACTCTATTTATAGCATAGGTAAATCATTGAAAACAAATTAGCACATGGCTCCTCTAAGAATTTGATTTCATTGATTTAGAAGTGAGAAAGAAGAAAAAATAGCAAAGTTTAAGTGTATATCTTTTAAAAAATAAATCACTTTCCCAAACCTTTTTCCTGTCTCATAAGAGTACATTAATCTAATAACAATGATCCTATAGAGTAGTCCCTGATGCTTTAGATCAGATGGACCCAAATTAATGTGCAGTTTTTAGAAATCTGACATTATTACTGGAATTATCTTTTCAGTTAAATGTATTTTATAGGGGTATATAGAGCAATATATGCTCTGTTGATTTTAATGAGTTGTGACGTCTGGTATTTTATATGCTTGAATATTTGCCCACATGTAGGAATATGGACTCAGCCCCTAATGGAAAATAACATAAAGGAACACTGTAAAAAATCAGAAGTTAGAATGTCATTTAGCCATCCAGAGATGACACAGTAATTAACTATTGACACTTGTGAATAAGCTAGCACAAATTAATCTTGACACATTTGCAGACGAGTGATATCTTACAGTGAACACTTTGTAATTATATTTCAAAATGAAAATTAAATGACACTTAAAACTAGGTTGTCATGCTCAATGAAGCGAGCATGTAGCTCAACCGATTGGCAAATAAAATTCAGAATTTGAGCCACATGGTGCTTATGTACCATACTTCACTGTGTCAAACCCATACGTCTAGAGTGGGTGATAGTAATTGCACTGTGGTGTTTTGGATGCATTTCTATGCAGCACTTTATCATTTAGGAGGGACCATCAATATTAGATGCCTAGTAGTGTTTCACTGGCTTGCTAAGAGGAAATAAATATTCAGAGGGTCCCACATCTATACCTAGAGTTGCCGAGTGAGTTGCCCATTTCTGATTTGAATAGTGACAAGCAGACTGAGCCTTTCCAATCTGATTACATAGTGTTTCTGTTTTGCTTATAAAGCTTTGGAGGGGAGTAGTCCCACTTCTCAAACTCTAGCCTATGATAGGGGCAGCTTTATCATGAGTTCCAGTATGAGCCAGTCATCACCAGAAACCACAAAACAACATTTTGGAGTAGACTGCTATTTTTTGTTATCTCGGGCTCAATGAAATGTGATTTGGGTGTTTCCCTCTATTCTAGGCTAAAGCATCAAAAAGACTCAAGAAATATACAGTTGAAGGCTGATCCACCTTCATTGCTACTTCTAAGATTGCCCATTCTAGAATATTGGCTTTTGGAAATAGAAGAAATAGGAACAAAAAAGCTGTAACTCTTACCTATAGGGCACTACAAAACCAAGGCCTTCTAAGAAATCTGGGGCCACTTCTCAGTCTAGCTTCTTACGCTGGCAGTGTGTTCTCATAAGGGGTATCCCCCGGACTTCAGCTTTTGAGGCAATAAACAGCCTGATGCCTTCCTCATGTTTTATAGTAAGCACCATTATGCTAAAGGAGTTGTTTGCTCTTCTGAGGGGCAGATTCGGATCCTCCACAGAGCCTGCTTTAGGTGGTTAATATTTCTTTATATAGGCCAGATTACGTGTTAACATGTTGAATTTGATTTTGGATGAAGGTAAAACTCATATGTGGATCGTGACCTTTAAAATGAACACATTGCCCTCAAAAGGATAAATGGATGAATATTGAATTTTGTTTCTAAAAAATGCTTTGTATGTGTGACATCAACGAGAAAAAAGGAAAGATTTGAGTTTTTGCTGTTTTCTTTTGCACTCCCTTGACAATATTTGTAAGTTTTATCAGCTCTGAAAATCTTCCCTTCAGAAAAGATTTCACCAAATAGACCATGTTTGTAAGTAATAGAAAGTTATTTCCTGTCTTTGCTTACAGATTTTACTTTTTACATCCAAATTAAGCTCTTGAGAAAATGTAGCCAGAGTTTTCCTGTCTTTTTTGTCCAAAGATCAGATTTCAAAATTCCCATTCTTTCCCAACGACCATTGCAGATATGGATGAACTGCTCACAAATGTCGTACAAGGGGTCCTGTTCATCTACAGAGAGAGATTTAGGGGGTAAGCAGAGAGGCGGCACCTGTTTGAAATTTTTCATTTTCTCCAACTTACTAAGTCTGCCTCTCTCATTTTATAGGAACTGTTTCACATAGAAGTACAGTAAAGCATTCTTGCAATTCCAAGAGAGATACCTGGGGTAATGGCAAAGGTGCAAGCATTTCATTTGAACTTAATGAAACTTTATTTCTGATAGATTGCAAGACAACAGCAGCAACTTCTGCAGCAGCAGCACAAAATTAATCTCCTGCAGCAACAGATCCAGGTCAGTGTATTTTATTACTCTCGGCTGATTATACTTAGATACTTTCCTCCTTGAAAACGGAATTGAAAATGCTGCAAATGTGCCCCTTTCCTGTTTACAGCACCAACAGGGCTGTTGCTCAAGGAGGTTGTATAAAATTGTATGCGTGGATGTAGGAAACATCGACCGCGTGGTGGTCTAAGCATTCTTTTCTGATGTGATACGTAAACAGAATAAACCTTATCTCTTTTTCCTTCTGCCATTTGCCTAGCACAACCCAGTGGAAACCTAAATGGTTTCAAAGGTAGCACACACATGCTATTTTTATTGCCACAAACCACTTTCTGCTTTGTATTTTACCGTCTTAATAGTATCACAGGGAGAAGCTTATACTTATTTGCTTGTTAGGACTGTCTGAGTAGGTCAGTTATGAGAAGAGTCTTCTGACCTGGGCAAAGATTGATAATGATTAATTTCTTCTTTAAGAAATAGTAACTGCATTTCTGCTAGGTGCTGTGGGGAGTGTGAACATCAATGAATAATTATGTGTCTTCAAGGAACTTACAATCTAGAAAGGAAGAAAAACGTGTTCCCAAATAATTGTAACACAATTTAAAAATTTCCCTTTTTTGTTGTGGCACTGTAACACAAATGCATAGATAATGATTACAATGGTCTGGGAAGGGATTCTGATTTCTGGCATTCCTTTAGAAACTTGATGGTTAATTTAACTAATGGCTCTCTGAGATCGGTAAGGGAACTGACCTCCACTTTTGAATAGGAACATAGGTATGTGACTTCTAGAAAGCCATAAAATAAGGAACTGTTTGGTGATTAATCCTCAGGAATACTCATCCCAAATTTATGTGTGCCCACCACAGCCTCTGTGGTTTCTCTTGGTTGCTGTGTATATTTTCTTTTTTCTTCCTTCCGTTTTTCTTTTTCTTTCCTTCTTTTCCTTCTCTTTCTTTCTTTCTCTTTTTCTTTCTTTCTTTCTTTCTTTCTTTCTTTCTTTCTTTCTTTCTTTCTTTCTTTCTTTCTTTCTTTCTTTCTTTCTTTCTTTCTTTCTTTCTTTCTCTTTCCCTTCCTTCTTTTCTTGTCTTTTCTTGTCTTTTCTTGTCTTTTCTTGTCTTTTCTTGTCTTTTCTTTTCTTTCTTGTTTTATTTATTTTGAGAGAGAACAGAGGAGGGGCAGAGAGAAAATCCCAGGCAGGCTCTGTGCTGTCAGTGCAGAGCCCGATGTAGGGCTCAAACTCATGAACCGTGAGATCATGCCCTGTGCTGAAACCAAGAGTCAGATGCTTAACCAACTGAGCCAGCTGTGGATATTTTCTAACCTCTGGGATCTGTTATTCAGCCTAGTTGGGACAGTATATTGTGAATTATATTATTCCTTTGCTTGAGTGTAATATTATACCTTCCTGTATTTATTTTTTTTAAAGTTTTATTTATTTTTGAGAGAGAGAGAGAGAAGAAGAGAGAGGGAGAGAGAGAACAAGCAGGGGAGGGGCAGAGAGAGTGAGACACAGAATCTGGAGCAGGCTCCGGGCTCTGAGCTGTCAGCCCAGAGCCCGATGTGGGGCTCAAGCTCACAAACCATGAGATCATGACCTGAGCTGAAGTCAGACACTTAATCAACTGCGACACCCAGGCGCCCCATATATCTTACTGTATTGAAAAAAATATTAATTCACATAAAGTCATAGTTTACTCTTCTACTGTTTCATTGGTGAAAGCCAGTGGTGTTAACTTAGAGCCTTGCTTCATTTCTTAATCATACTTGGTGTTCCATTTAAAGTACCAATTTGGTGCCTGAAGAAGTACTTGTACCTCATTTGGCATTTTGTCCAGCTATCTTCACCTGAGGGTTTTAACGAGTGTTTTTGTTGTTGTTGTTTAATTAGTTCTGATTCTATCTTTCATACACAAGTCTGTGTGTTTCAAAATAGAGTCCAAATACAGGGGAGATGGAATGTCTCTGGCATTTTTGACAGTCAGCTTTTACAATGAAATCTCAGAATAATTTCTCCTCCTGATATCTTATCTCTTTTATAACTCATGCTGAGATCCTTAATTAAATAACTGTCCAGGTGTTCCCTGATTCTGCCCTTATTAGAATTTTCAGTGTAGCTCCTACTGCTAAGGTCAAGATTTTTAGCCTGTGGTTTCCTACATTTTTCTCTGGATTCCTCTCTAAGTACTCAGTAGGTGTTAAATAACCTGATCATTTAGTTCTCTCTGTTTCTCCTATTTGTAAAGCAGGAATGGAAGAAGTTTCCTGAGATGTTCCCTTATCAGTTATTTATTGTTAATGTTTTTCTACATCTTCATTACTTACTTCTTTATTTATTTTGAATGTATTTCACTTGTCAGTCCACTGGTGTTTCTAACAAGTGGCTGTCTTAATTGATGTTTGTTTTGTGGTACTGAGGATGTCAGATGAATAGCAACCAAATCAGTTCACAGCACTTTTATGAAATAGCATTTATTGATAACATATGATTTTAGTTGTAACTTTACCACATGAAATTGATGCCTTCTTCAGGAAACTATAGAATATGATGTTAAAATATTATTCATCGGAATGTTTAATTTGAGAAGACAGGAAAATTGTTTTTTCGGGTTTTCTAATAGAAGTTTAATTACTTTTAAAATCATGGATATTTCTCATTGTTTGAATTTTTAAAAATTGAAGCTAATCAGCACTTGACCTCAGCTGTGTAAATTATAAAATCAGAGAGAGATTCAAAGTGTCAGAGCTGCATTCACTTTAGAAATACAGGAATCTTCGTAATAAGAATTTATATTTAAAAAATAACAGGAAGCAATAACCTGTATTTATAGTTTGTTCTGTCCTGAGCTACCGCAGTTACTACTGCATATCTTGTCAGTATTTATCTTATCAGTGTGCGACCATTCGAAGAATTTTTCAAACGCTTAAAAATATTCCTTACACAAAACATATTTATCTCTGACACTCATGAAGCAGGTATTTGATATTCAGACTTTCAGGTGTTTTGGGGGAAGGGGAATGGATTAAACGTATTTTTCAAATATGGTTTTTGATAAAATATAGACATGATCCAATTTAGGAGAGATTATTGGTGGGCTAATTTTAGTACAGTTTTTTTGAGCAAGATATGAGATTTAAGCGACGCTGCACACATTTTTCTATCATGAAAGAAACATTCTCCTGTTTGACAACAAAACAGAACAAAGAGTAAAATAAGGTGAGTACAAAACTACTTTCCCTTCTGAGAACAAATGTATGCAGAGACCATTTGAGCAAGTTTGACCTTCTTTCTTCTTTTTAAATCTTGAGTCCCAGAACCTGTTAGCTAACAAAATCAGTGAGATTAAGCCATGGCAATTGGCTATGGATCATGAGTATCAGCTGGTTACATTCAGGATTGCTGTCTGCTTATAGTTCAGAATGCTGACTTGTGAATCAGTACTGTTGTTCCTGATTTTGCAAACTATAATAGAAAGAAAAGGAAGAGTGTCTAACCTCTTACAATAACCACACACCAACACATCTGGGCCTATTGTAATGGAAGCAAATGAAAACCTGAATGGCTTGTACAAATTGAAATCAGGACTTTTCCTTAGAGATGGGAAGAAGACATGATGAAAACAGTATTGTAAAAGTCCCCATGCTTATTTTATGTGCAATCATTCAAAACTTATATGTGTAGTTAAAAACCATATTATTTTTTTTCTTCCTTAAGTATAATTTTTAACATACTTTTGCCTTGGTAAATTCTAACTAAATTTTCAAAGAGATACATTTAAGACCATGTGAACCATGTTTAGAAAGCAAGATGAATGACTTTGTGAATCAGTGTTTTTATTTTTTTTGATGAGTCAATTTTTGCCATTAAAAAATCAGGTTAATAACTTTAAATGATTATTAAAATGCTTTAATATTAACAGATCTTTTAGGAGGCTGTTTGCTTAGTGAATTCAAATCCCTCTGTTTGTGCTTTGGGGAAAATGGTGATTCCTCTAATTTGTTTCATATTAAGTAATTCCCCCGATATAGAGCCCAGAAAAAGTTGGACATTTTTGATTCTTCCAGGACAAAAATAGCACAGTTTTCATCAAGTGTATGGAAAGCCAAACTAATAGATATGGAATAGGTATGGAATAGATATGGAATATGATCCTTGGAATTGGGAATGCCAGTTCTCATCCTTTAATTCCAAAGGACAGATGACTGCTTCAGTAATTTCATCCTCCTTGTCCCCTACCATTGCACTGGAGTATCTTAGCCAGTCTTTTGTAGCATTGTATTTATGAGTTATGTTGACAGGTAAACAAAATTCACTTGTAATTATTGGACACATCAAAGCATATTTACAGTATTTTAATCAACCAGTACATGTAAGTCTAGTCTAAGCAAAGGAGAAAATACTTTATAAATCCTGCTTTCTTGATCCACCTATATATTTATTTACACAACCTCAATTGAGCATGTCATGGTTTTTGAATCTAGAGAAGTTATTCTTCGTGGATACGACATCCCACATTCTTTGGTTTCAATAGCATGTTACTAGGAAACATTGATGGCATTTTGTTGCTAAAACTTAATCTTTGGAGGAGAATTTAGCTCATGAAAATATCTTGGTAAGAAGCTTACTTTTTGAGTTTTTGATAAAATATAGTCTCTTCAAACCCCAATTTTAGAGTTATTCAAACGGCTTATATTGTGTGTTATATAGGCTGTGTCCTCTCCTGACATTGCTGATGGAACAACAGTGGTCTCCTAACAGTAGACTGGCTGCCTGGGGTATTACCTGGGCATTTGGCTTCCTGGGCCAGGGCCAATGATTTCATGAATTCGTATACATATGCCTTTTTAAGCTTAATTGTGAAACTTGAAATTCTTAGCTTTTTGTTGATCTTTACAATTAGTGTACAATATTCATTGCCCTTCCCTACTCATTTAATACATACATTAGATGGCAAATTCCATCTGTGGAAGGCCTGAACCAAATGTCATTGCTGCTGCTTTGCACATAC